CCGTGGTGGTTTTGTGTCGTGTGTGGAGGCCTTTTAACCTCTTACTTTTCCCTCTCCCCCCCCCCTCCCTCCCCCCCATCTTGCACACCTTTCCCCAGGGTAAAATCCCGTTGGGTGCAGTGGCGGTGAAGGAAACGAAAGAAGAGAGGAAAAGATAAAAAGGTAGATAAAAACCATACCCGAAGGAGAAAAAAAAAAAGAACCCCCAAAAAAGCTGAGCGAGGAGGTCCTTTTAAACCCGATGAGCGACCCCGTAGCGGATTTTATGGCCATCACCGCCTGCACCGATGAGGCGATCGCGATTCAATACCTTTCCAACGCGAACTTCGACATTTCGATGGCGGCGAATGTGTACGTCGCGCAACACGGCTCGCCGGATTACTCCTCCGCGCAGCCGTCGGATTCCGTCGTTTCCGCGAATCCCTCCCCCCTCACGACGCCGATGGGGGAGGCGATGGAAACTACACGGATGCCTTTTGCGATCCCCACCGGGCCGATTATCGGCGGCAACGGCGACGGATGGAGTGGGGAATGGCAAGAGCTCGACATGGGCCCTGCGCCGCGCTCGAATGGGCTCGAAAACGCGGGCAACGAGGCCCTTCGACGGCTTTTTTCCACCCCCGCCTTCGTCAAGATCGGGAAACCGCTCCAGACGATCTGCGAACAGGCGTGTAAGAAGGATAAATGGGTGCTCGTGGCGATCCGCGGCGGGAATTTCGCGAGCGCCTGCCTCGCGCGGGATGTGTGGAATTTGGAGGTGATGGAGGTGCTCACGGACTCCTTGGTTTTCTATGAGGTGGATATCGCGACCGAGTACGGGCTCGAGCTCGCCAGCAGCTATCGGGTGGAGAAGGAAAACCTCCCGGAGATCTTCTTGGTTGACCCTCAAACCTTGCATAAGGAGTTCAAAATTTCACTTCATCGACGCGATCCGAGCATTATTGACGGGGCGCGGGTGGTGGAGGAGGTGTTGTTGTTTATTAACGCCAACGGCTCGCCAACGCAGCGCGCGCGGCGGATGCTCGGCGAACCCCACGACGACCTCGACAACCCCACGCCAAACCGGGGAAGTGGGGTGGAGGTGGTCGAAGTGGATCGCGATTCCAGCACCGCCGAATCGGCCGGGCGGAAGGAACAAAACGAAAATCACGCCCAAGGAGAGGCGGAGGCGGAAAAGTCGAAAAAAGCGCCCGAGCGTTCCCCAGTAGAGGTGGTTACCCTCGACGCATGGCAGCACGATGGGGGTAGCGGGGAACCTTGCTTTAAACTCCGTTGTCGGTTGCCAAAGTCGAACCTGACGTTGACGTTACGGCCGGAAACACCCGTGCGAGAGCTCGTGCGGTTTTTGGCGTATCGTGTGTACGCGGATGACAAGGAATCGTACGATGGTTTCCCTTCCGTAGAGGTGCGTGGGGGCTTTCCACCGAAGGTGGTGCCGATTCCCGAGCGCGCGGTGGATGCGGTTGGAGGGGAGATCACCCTCATGGAGTGGAATGGAGTGCGGAGTGGGGAATTGCTAACGGTGCACCTCCAGAATTATAAATCATGACGCGTTTTATCTATAGGTTTCTAAGCAGGGGTGTTTTTTCCCCCCTATCCCCCTTCCTCCCTCTCCTCCCACCTTTTTTATTTGCTTTCACAACGCGAGCGGTAACACATCTCATATCTGATTAAAGAATGAACTGGTATTTTAATGCAAACCCCTCATAAAATAAATTTAGGTGGGTAGATACATAATTGACTATGTTCTTCTTAATGAAAACAAGGAAATGACAGAAGTCTTTTTCATTATGTATTCATATGGTTTATTATGCTTGGGTGTTTTAGTATTATTGTGCTTTATGGAAACTCTCTTCAAGCGGACTGTGCTTCATCAGCCCAAAACAAAAAGTTGTGAATTTCATGCTTGGAATACTACTTAATCTCGTTGTGTGCGGACCCTTTTTCCCTACAAATATTTTTACCTAGTATGGGAATATCAATGCTATTAAGCACATGCACGAGGGATGTAGAACATATTCCAATATTTTTTCCGAATTTGTGGTATTACATGTTTTTACTACGTGTAAAGTGCTCTGGCGCTCCTGCTTAATAAGACTAATATTACTATTCGCTATATTTCGCTCATAAAAAGGTGCTAAATAAAACGGATTCCCTTGTTTTGGAGTACCGGTGTCGATGTCCTACATTTGATTTCTTCTTTGTATCTATGAAAATGAAGTATGATGGATCATCAAATTAGTTAAACTGCATTTAAAAACCAAAGGTGTGATAACCCTACGAAAGTAATTCCTCAAAGGGGTAGTGAGAAACCTCAAGAGCTAAGGCCTATTTAAAGAAAAGGTAGCAGGTGGGAAATCGCTTAAATGCTCTTGGAAATGGAGGCAACACTTGAGGACAAACAGCCTCCCGCGGCCGAGAGCAGCGAAGTTCCAAAATCGCCTGGCAAAAAAAACAAAAAAGTAAACGCGAGCATGACTCCAAACGACACCGTAGTAGCAAGCATGCCCATCCCACCAACGACCTCCCACCTCCTCCGAAGGCCGTGGAAAGGCAAAAAGCGGATCAAGAAGAGAACTGGGCAGCGAATCACGATCGCATTGAGCGGCTGAGCTCGGTTTTTCCAAATAACATCTGCTGCGATTGCAACGAGAGCGGAACGCAGTGGGCATCGGTAAATCACGGCGTCTTTATCTGCATTCGCTGCGCGGGCATTCATCGCTCGCTTGGCGTGCACGTCTCCAAAGTGAAATCGACGAATATGGATCGCTGGGCGGCCGCGGAGGTCGCGTTGATGGAGGCCATTGGCAATCGCCGTGGGGAGGCCTTTTATTTGGCGAACCCTCCATCTTCCTCGAACGGGCTTCTAACCAAATACTCCTCCAACGAGGAGGTGAAACGATTTATCGAGCGAAAGTATGTGAGCAAGGAGTTCGCGGTGAACAACGTGGAGGAGTTGCTGCGAAAGATTCACAAGCAAGTTGGCTACCAAAAGCTAAAACAGCATGAGTCTGGTTTAACAACGGGTGATACCCGAAGCGTCACGGCCTCCGATAAGGCAGGGGTGGCGACTAAGAAGGTAGACCCCGAACAAGTTGTGCGCGCGCTCTACGGCGATGCGACCACCTCCGAGCTCACCTCAAAGATGAAAACGATCGTCCAAAAGAATGAGCGTAAAAGCCAAACAATTCATGGAACTTTTGGTGTGGTAAATGTGAACCCGGAGGAGTATTTGGATCGGTTTACCATGGTGTTGCGAGCCTTTGAAATTGATCGCGAGGTCGTCGAATCCGCCCTTGACGACGAGGGAAATGAAGAAGAGAAAACAAAGCTCCTGGGTTGATTGCTAGAAGTATGAAAAAGAAGAAGAAGAGGGGTGAGGGGTGAGGGAAGGCAGAGGAGGCAACGTTTAAATATTGCTAGGTAGCGCAAATCAATACGCGAGGAATCCACTCTTATGGAAGGTAACTCAGCATTTGTGTTTTGTAAAAAGGTGAAAAAAATCAAATTGTGTGAGGAGTGGGGGGGAGGGATATCCATCATAAAAGTATATTGCATGTTGAAATGTTATATATGATAATGCTTTATTTTCGATATATCTGTTTTTCTCCTTCCTTTTTTTCCAAAGCTTACCAAAGATACACCACCGTTCAATAAGGTTTTGAGGAGGAAAATAAATAAAATAGCCGCTTCTACTCTACCCTACTCTATACTTTGTTTCTTCTGAGAAAAAGATCTTTAAATGCCTTCACCTCGTAAGTCGACGTTAGGGAGCCGTGGTTCCATGACTGCCACACGGCGCGGCGAAGCAAAACAAGATGCGGGGCCCTCCCTGCCCGAGGGCAAGATCAACGGCTTTGATCCTTCATCCAAAGCGGCCCCTCTCCCAGATTCAATCAACAGTTCGTTTTTGGAGGAGGTGAAGCTGGTGGATGCAGTCCTATCTGGGCGCTCTGAACGCAAAGGAGTGGGGAAGCGTGGAAAGAATGAAAGGGGACTCTTCTTCTGGATCGCGGTGATCGTGATACAGGTGCTACTGTTTCTGTGGTTTCGTTGGGCAATGGGAATGTACACCGAGATCTGGCCGAGGCTCGGGAAGTTTTTCCAGTAAATAACACATTGATGTGAGTAAAGGGGGATAAATATATACATATACACTGGTCAGGAGCATGTCAAGCGAGCCTCATATGCACTTGCAACGCAGCTTCCATTTGAAATATTTGTATTCTTCACACATTATGTGTGCTGTGTTTTAGATAGATGTCTTTAGAGTTTTTTCCCCCTGTCGAATACGTGTCTTCGCTGATGATTTAGGCATAGAGAGTAGGATATACGAGTCTTGCAGAACGTTTCCTTTATATAGAATACTTCATTGCCAAGGCACGTGAAGCTTTCCCTCTCCCCCCCCCCTCCCTTCCGTCTTGCTTATCTGTGTGTGAATACTACCCGTCACTTTCTTTCTCTCTCTCTTTTTCTCTCACTGTCTACATCATCAAAGAGGAGATCACAAACACACCGGTCGAGCCAATCCATCTCAAAGGCCTCTTTAGAGAAAGGGTTCCTACGTTTCCCAAGAGGGTGTGTTGCTTCACGCGCCGATTGTGACACCGGAAGGGAAATGGAGTCTCCCTTTTTCGGCCGCACGGGATTTCTAGACGCACAGCGAGATGGCCTGCCCATCAGCCATAAACCCCGTCTTCTAACAGGAGAACGGGCAGGTGGGTTCAAATGGTATCCCACGCTACTCAGCTGCCCTCAATGCCTCCTCTATCACCTCTCGCAAGGGGGTGAGGTGGATGTCTCCTTGTTACGCTACCTACGACTGTCGTATATGGTGGAACTCATGGCGGAAAAGGAGAAACGGGATCGTGCGGAGAAGGCGGTCTTGATGCGGGATGTGCTACGCTGGAATGCACGTCAGAAATACCCTTTGTCGTCGTCGTTGTCATCATCATCGTCGTCGCCGAGGGTGGTGCGATTTTCCCCACCCGAGCTCACAATTGTGATCGTGAAGGATGGGAAAAGCGTGGGCACCATTGCACAGGTCTCCCATCGCGCAGCAACCCTTTTGGGCAAGGATCACGCGTTAAATGATATCTTTCTTGATCATCCAAGCTGCTCAGGGCAGCATGCCGCCCTGACGGTGCAGTTTTCTCTCCCACCGGATGTTGAAAAAGATATGGGGAGCACTTTAGCTCAGAACAGCCCCGGAGAGAACGCATCAGGGGGGCTTTTAACACGCCCAGGGGCAATGGAATCGTTCGATGCGGCCTGCACGCGGCTCTGGAGGCGGCTTGGAGAATTGGAAGAGGAGCAGCGGGAAGCGGCTGGGGAGGAAGGTGGGGAGATATGGTCCTTGGAGTTACGGCTTATGGACCTGGGGTCCACGAATGGGACCTTTCTTAATCATGAGCGGCTTATCCCGTACACCGCGGTGACGCTGTTGGAAGGGGATGTGATCACGTTTGGCACCTCTACGCGGAGCTATGTCGTGATGCGATCCACCCAATGAGTAAAACCCCTCCTATATGGCTTAATATATCCGACTTTCTGAGAGAGAGCAAACTTGAATGGAGATCGGATTCAGTGTAATGCAGCATGCAAAATGATGCGATTATCTATGCTTATGTCTACTGTCATTCATATTGGTAATAGTGTTGCTATTATTGCTATCGTCACTTACTTTATTTAATTTTTTGCATCTTAAACTGGGATTGAAGTCAACGTTAGATTACATATCTTTGCGAGTGTGCGCACACCCACTTTTTAGTGAAAACAATCATGAAAAGAAACGTTTCTGTCGATACTGATCGTGAGGTTGTATTCGATGGCAACACGCTGCTCTCAGAGCAAATGGAGCTGCTCTTGAATGCGACACCAGCGGAAATTAGAGACATCTATTATTTAAAGCTCAAGCTTAATGCCAAGAAAAAGAGTACGGTTCAGCAGAATCAACTGCAACGTATAGCTCAGTTGTGGGATGGAGAGGAGCTTGGTTTGCAGCCAGCTGGAGGTGGGGTCCCTTTCACACGAAGCATCAGCACCCATTTCCCGCCCGGCCTCACGGGCATTTCTCGTAGCCCTCATCAGCACTCCGCCCCGCCCGTTTTATCGACTGACGGGGGGAGTTTCAGCCTCGCGCGATCGGAAAACCCTCGACCACCGGTTCGTCTTAGCCTGCAATCCGCCGTAGCGGCAGGAGAGGGGGGGAGGGGGGGGCACCTCGGGCTGCCTTAACACGACCTCCCATCTCCACCAACGGCGGGAACGTCTCCATCAAGGAGGAGTCTCGCGACCCCGCGCCCCGTAATCCGATGGATGAACTTCCCGCCTCCGTCGCGATGCGGCGTTCGCTGAGTGGGGGATTAAAGACAACGAGCCACGCGCCTTTCGAGGTGGGGAACCCTCCTTTTGAAGGCGGCGGAGGTGGCTTTTCAAGTGTGGAGGAGGCCCTGCCAAGAAGTGCACCCCCGCTCGAACCTTGCCAGCACTGTGGGCGCACCTTCGCCGTGGAATCGCTCAAACGCCATCTCGAGGCCTGTCGGCGGCATCACGAAAGTGCCGCGAGGTTAACCGGAGGGGGGGGGCACCACCATGGCAAGCTAAAGTCCTCCTTCCCAAGCGGGGACGCGTCGGGGCTGACCAGGCTGGATACCAGCAAATCCTATGGAGGAACGGAACGGATGGGGTACGACTAAAAATGAAGGGCTAGAGGTGGTTCCCGCTTCATAATACCTTATATAGCAGGAGAAGAAAATGAGTCCCTCCGTAGACACACAACGTATTAGAGGTAATTCAAAATGTCATTACTTAGAGAACTATATATTTTACATCTTTTTGATTGCGTTGTTATTCTTTTCGTATTTCCTTTGCTAGTGTTGGTCGCAGTGCTAAATGGAATCTAGTAAACTCGAAATAGACTGCCGGGATGTACAATCAGAAGGAGTGGAGTTGGAAAAATGTTTATTCCCTATTAGTGAACGTTACGTTTTTAGGTAATATTCATTGTTAGTGCTATTATTGAATGATCAACGCAAGCATTCGCGTATGCTCTGCTGTTCCGTTTTTCTCGCGCTCTTGGGTGGGAGTAACTTATTTTTGTTGCCATCTTTATTCAGCTGAATCTCACGTCATTTCTTTATCTGGTGCCTGCCGTCTGAAAAAGAAGGTTATGTTAGGAGGAAAAACAAACGCTCAGCAATAACTCGCACCACATCCAAAGCTGTAGCACGTATCACATGATCCTGTGATAATTTTCGAAAAACGCTGGGAACATGTGGGATTGAAGGAATCTTGAATGGCCAAAGGCAGTCAAGCCAATAGATAAGTGAGCAGTGTATTTACTTTTTCTTAAATGAAGTCGTACTGGTGTTGCACAAATGAGGAATAACATGGTTGTCAGGCTAAATGATTATCCACTTCTGCGATTCTATTCACATGCAAATAAAGGATTTGCTATACATATATATTCAGCTTCCTTCGCTTTGCCCTGTTTTTCGATACTTGAGTATGTCTATCCCTCTTCTGAACTTGAATGGTGCCTCCATCATTGAATTGCATAGAAATATTTGAGACTACGTGAATTATTGATGATTATTTGTTGCTAATTTATCCTCTTTTCTTTACTAACGTATCCGGTTCTGCACCCTTACTCTCTTTTTCTGAATTAATTGAAAACAAATGTGAAATTCAAGCACAAATTCGTGAATACATAAGTAACCTGGATGGGCAGTCATAAAAAGCTGTTGAAACGAGCCCAAAGCGGTTAGTGAAAGATAAGCTCGTAGTTTATAAAGGCTTGTCTGTGAAGACAAATTTTTGAATAGATAAATTTATCCATATACCGGGTAAAATAATCCAGCTATGAGCTCTGGTTAGACAATACAGAACAAAGCCGTGTGGCGGTCGCGTACGTGGGACTTGTTGCCAAGACCTGCATCGGCTTCGTTTTTCATATGATTCCCTTTCATGATGCCATTTATCGCATTTGTCGTATGCCCCCGATGACGGTGTTGTGTGTGGAGTCTATTGTGATCATGATGTTTACCATCGCGTCGGCTCACCTATATGGGCTGTTTCCCTCTAAAATTAATACTATGATGGGTCTGTCAGAATTCTTCCACTCTAATATCCTGAGTGTGATCATGTATGCGTTGTATTGTATCTATAGTGGTAAGCTCTCAAAGGTCGATGGGCTTAGTTAATCTTTGGGGAACACATTTACACTCGATAGACGGCTGAACGGCGATCTCGTCTCGTATCGTAGCAAATGTCTATAGCACTGTGGAGTATCCCTTTTACTAAGTGACTTGCTAACCAGGTGTTGTTTTTGAGATAAAGGGATTGTGATCCTGATATTCGACATTTTAGAACTGTCTTCGTTTCACGATGTGTTTTACGACTAATATTTTTTGGAATTCTTTTTACATATTTTTTACACAACTAATCGTTGTGTTTCTTGTTGGTCTATACGAGCACAGACTTTTCAAGTATACAAAATGATTTAAATAACCCAAAATGAACAACATTGTTGAATTGTATTCCTTTTTTACTTTATATTTTATCACTTAAAAAGGTGTCAAACACCTAACATAATAATTTAAGTGCTGGCTAAATGATTTTATCTCGGACCAACAAAGGGAATAGGAGGTACTCCAATATTGTATTAGTGGCGGATCTACCTATTTTCCGAGAGTCATGTGCCAAAATGGCGAAATGCTGTTAAATTGATAAGTTCAAATTATACATCGAAATGTGGGGAACATGGGAAAAAGGTAAAGTACTTCATACAAAAGTAACCCTTAGAGATGTGACTGAATTCCCCGACATACTATCAATCTCTAATTTACTGTGATACGCTTTGTGTTCAAGAGAGAACAGGATAGCCATCGATATCATCGCAGGGAGTCGTGATGCGGCACAACTGCAGCGAATAGAATCGTTTTGTCTCTTCCTCACATGATTTAAAACACATTGCATGAAATATAAATAGCACCTAAATAAGTCTTTTCATTAAAGTATGTCTTGTGATACTCACCTTTCTCAATCAAAAGGAGCCGAAACCAACCAAATGGAGGATGTTGACCGTGAACTTGGTTATCCGCTCCCAACCGAATTGCCGTATGATGGCTCCCATGAATTTACCAGTGACAAAAATGTTCAACTGGACCACAACATCCTCGGCAAGGACGGCGCTCAAGCAACGTCCGAAAATGTGTATTACCAGAGGCCCAAAAACTTCTTCGCCCGTGCCTTTAACTACATCATCCCACACGGAAGCATCCTCTCCGGCAGCTTCAATCTCGCGAGCATCACTCTCGGGGCGGGCGTTCTGTCGCTGCCCTACGCATTCAGCATCGGGGGCATCGTCATGGCCACCCTCTACCTCCTTATCTTCACGGCCTTCACCGTTCTTTCGGTTGTGTTGATCGTGGAGGCCTCCGAGAGGACGGGCCTTCGGAGCTTCGAAAAGCTCGCGTTGGGGCTCTTCGGCCGGGGCGGCAATATCTTCGCGGCCCTCGTCATGTGGCTACTCTGCTTCGGCGGTGCGACCGGCTTCATTATCGCCGTCGGCGACATCTTTAAAGTCCTTATGAATCATGACAGTATCCCCGACTTCTTCAAGAGCTCGAATGGCCGGCGCTGCCTGCAGTGTTTGGTGTGGGTCTTCTTCATGCTCCCCGTGGCGCTGCCGAAGTACATCAACTCCCTGCGCTACGTGTCCGCCGTGGGGGTGTCCTTTGTGTTCTTCTTCGTCTTCTGCGTTACCGGCTACTCCATCGAGAGTTGCGTGAGGAACGGGCTGCCCGAGGGTCTGATGATGGCGCGGACCGGCAATACGGCCGTCGTAGCATTGGCCATCTTCATCTTCGCCTTCATCTGCCAGTGCAACTGCCTGAAGATCTACTACGAAATGCATCACCGAACGGTCGCCCGCATGGCACTCAGCGCCGCGCTCAGCTGCTGCATCTGCATGGTCATGTACTTCCTCATCGGGTTCTTTGGGTACGTGTACATCGGTCCCAAAATAGACGGAAACATCATTCTGTACATCAACCCATACGAGAATTACATTTTCTTTATCTGTTTCGCCGGCATGATCATAAAGCTCGTCGCCTCCTTCGCACAAACTATGATGGCATGCCGCACGGCGCTCTTCCAGGTGATGAACTGGGACGTGGAGACGATGCCGTACTGGAAGCATACGATTTTCGCGGGTTCCTTTGCGACGGCAGGGCTAATATTGGGTCTCTTCGTACCCAATGTAAGCATGGTCTTTGGCCTGGCTGGTGCCCTATGCGGCGGCTTCATCGGCTTTGTCCTCCCAGCCCTCTTTGTGATGTACGCGGGAGGTTGGTCGCTGAAATCTGAGGGTTTGTTTATGTACATCGCCACATACATATTGCTCCTCTTCGGCGTTGTTGGCATCGTGTTCGGCACTACATGTACCATCTATGGTATGGTACAGTAATCTCACTAGACAAGCTCGCAATTATCTAGTTCTCTTTGTCTATGCCACATATCAAGGGTCATAAACACGGGTAGTGATACATGCTTGCTAAGATGTTCACTTCTTTTTCCCTTCATGTTAAGTAATGCGTGAGCTTATTCTTTGAAAGGTAAATATAACACACCTTAAATAATGAAGTAACCTCCGAGAACTTCGCTATCAGTCTGTGTGCACACAGAATTGATTATAAAAAATTATGGATCTGACATGGAAGTCAAGGAAATGTCAAAAAAAAAGTATGCTTGCAAAAATGGTTCAGCTGGAATCAAAAAATGGGAAAATGTATAAATACAAGATAATCATACATTTGCGATAATAATCCTTATTTCATAGACAGGAAAGTGATGCGTGCAATATTCTTAAACTAATTTTTTTCCTTAATATAAATTTTCTTTACAGTGTGTTGTATATTTTTCAACTGGAAGAAAATGGACACCTATATGGTATTAAACCAACGTGATGGTAATAAACTGAGAAGCATTGCATAATATGTACGCGATAAACGTCCTCTCTGATTTACTTCAGAGCGGATCGTAAAGAAAACGCGTAGAAAGGTTTCGCTCTGTGTAATTGCTAAATAATTCTCTCGTTGAAAATATATTTTTTGCGTTTTTCGTTACAATCTAAGAAACAATAAGTCACAATAAGGTCCATGATGGATGACGCCTTTTCCCAATACCTCCCTATCGTCACCGGTGTACCCTTCTTGCGATTTTATGTCATCATTCCACAGTATCACTCTAATTTTGTTCGCACAACAGTTTGCGATATGAAGGGTCAGAATGCAGGGGCACTCGCATCCTGGGGTTCATCGTGCAGGGGGGAGTGAACAATTTCGCAAGCCTCATTTTGGGAAAGCTGCCAAGGTCAATTTAATGGGGGTGTACTGAATGTGTATCCCCACATGAGGCATCCAAACGGCATCATTAAGAACAGGCAACCGCAATCCTAGGCATGTGCTCATATCGAGAGGCCTCAATAGTAGTTTGGTTCCTTCCCCCTCCCCCTCTCACAGGCACAGCGCCTGCCCCTCGCGGCACACGTGCGGCTGCAGCCTTCACAGGTGACATGCGAAAGCCGACTATTACCCTCTCCTGTGGCTGCATGAGAATCACGGTGTACGCACAAGGCCCATACACGACCTTATCCCTGTGTTGGCCACGAGCATCCGCGTGCAAGTGAAAAGTCGACCGCCAGGGGCAGTCGCCTCTTCCCGCCCCCTCGAGTGCCACAACACCTAATGCAGGGTGACGCTGGACGTCGGCAGCCCCTATTGCGCCATTCAGAGCCCGTGACGGCGGTGGCATCGTATTTTGCTGAAGTCATCATGGCAAACAGCAAGGCGACACAATGTAGTTTGGCGTGTGCAATGGCATGGCATATTTCACAGGAGAAAGTAAAGGCATTTTCGCCCTCTCAATCCTCGTCCTCGCTTGCGGATGCCAAGGGGCTTGATAATTGCCTCCCCCCTCCCCTTCCTCGTTCTCCAGAACCAATGTGATGGCCCACGGCTTACCTGCTGTGTGATGCAAAGGTGATGCCACTCCATTGGGGTGCAGCCGAGCTCCTATTGCACAGCCCGCGTCCGGCGACCCTCGTTTGGTAGATTGCTCCACAAAAAAAGCAGCGCCAAACATGCAGCGCGAGCCCTACCCCATGCGCAGAATCGTGAAATTGATGCTACTGAGTGATGGTTTTATGGCCCGTCGGTGCTCTTCAAATCCGTGGGTGCGCGTGGTGGGCATTTTCTCCCCCCGCTCAGTGTTCGCTTGTAGCCTCGACGAGACCGTTGAAGTGGGCCCAGCGTAGCTAGGGATCCTACCCAGTGTCCTTTGGGGGTAGAATTTAGGCCGCAGTAAGTCAGCCAAACACTCCCTTGCTACCACTTCCCACTGGTAATGAAGAGTCAAAAAAATGTTGTGCGCTTATGTTAGCTTTCCGATTTGAGGCTCCACAGGAGAGGGGTGGGGCCGCAATGCAACAATGTTGTCACCTACCCTGCTGTGCTCTTTTCCCATGCAACAGATTCTAAGGTATAAGCCTCCAAAGCAAAAAAGAGAAGTAAACAAAACAAATAACTAAGTAAATTTATCTTTGAAGGGAAAGGCAAGTGGTAACCATAGAGAGGACGACATGAACGTCAATCGCACAGTGCTCCCTACCCAAAGTGCACCGGCACTATCGGAAACGCACAGTTCTTCGTACCACCCTCATGCTGGAAGTGCTAATCCAATCTCTGGCGCCGTGCACGAGGATTCTACGCAGTCTGACGCTGATCATCATGACCTATCCCATGGAATTCATAACATTCCTGAATACCCAGCTAAGCGCACCGCATCTGCTTTGGATTCCACGTCTTCTGGCGCACCCCACGAGGGATCCCACGAGGCAGGATGGTGTGCTCCCTTTGTCCGCCTGTATCGGAACCTGATACCTTACGGTGGAGTGGCATCCGGTACCTTTTCCCTCTGCTCTGTCACTCTGGGCGGTGGTATCATTTCGATGCCATCATCCTTTGCCAGCAGTGGTATTATTATGGCCATGATCTACCTTGTTGTGGTTACTATTCTCACTATCTACACTATGACCCTGATGGGGTACGCGATGGAAAAGACAGGGCTCCGAAACTATGAGGAGATGGGTCGCAGCTTCTTCGGGAAGTGGGGTGGTTACTTCACTGGTGGCATAATGGCCTTGTCGTGTGTGGGCACTGCCATTGGTTACATCAGTGCTGCTGACTCCCTCGTAAACCCCATGCTGCAGAAATCTAGCCACACATCGGAGTACTTCAAGACGAGCAACGGTAACCACCTCGTCACGACCTTCATCTGGCTGCTCCTCATGTTACCGGTGGTAATCCCGAAACGCGTCAACAGTATCCGCTACGTGTCGTCGATAGGTGTTACGATGGTGATGTATTTCGTTTTAACTATCGTAATACATAGTATAACCAACGGAATGAAGCTGGGCATGCGCGACGATATGGAGTACTTCACTACAGGAAACAAGGCGATTTACGGTCTCTCAATCTTCGTTTTCGCCTATATGTGTCAAGGGCCTGCGTATTCAATATATTTCGAGATGAAACCCAAGCCATCAGTGAAGAAACTAACTCTTTCAAGCATCATCGGACTGTCCATCTGCATGATATTCTACATCCTCGCTGGTGTGTTTGGGCTATTTGACTTTGCGGGGGAAACCGAAGAGTCTGTCCTCTTTAACTTCGACCCTATCCACGAACCCTATGTGATGGTAGCCTACATTGGCATGTTGATTAAGATTTGCGCTGCGTATGCGATGAACATGATCCCGATCCGAAACTTCCTGTACTACTGCATAAGCTGGGACCTAGACACCGTACCGTACTGGAAGCACTCCGTTCTCATTGTGTTTGTTTCAGGGGTGATGCTGATTACGGGGCTGTTCATTCCATCTGTCAACCTTGCATTCGGTCTGGTAGGCTCGCTAACCGGTGGATTTGTGGGCTTCATTTTCCCGGCGTACTTTTGGATGTACTCTGGCAACTGGTCGCTGAAGACGGTGGGTATTTGGCATTATCTAGCGACGTACACCCTACTTGTGGTAGGCGTAATTGCCATCGTCTTTGGATCCATAGCAACCATCTATGCATCTTTCTTCGACTCTTAAGACGACTCTATGGGCCGAATAGTGGTAGTGATTGTTTATTTTCTGAATAAAATACCTTGGGAGTACTTGATCCGGCACAGATATAAAAACCCGGAGCTAAGTTGTTACCCTCGCCTTGTAGGCTTTGTTCTGTTGTAAATGTTTGGTTTGATTTATAAATACAAGTCTATTTGAACGATTAGATACTTGACTAGCTTTCCCCATCTCTTTTCCCTCGTCGATAACTTTTGATGCTAGGAGTTCTAAATCGAAATGAAGTGTTGTTTTCCTTATAACTTTCTACTATTATTTTAATGCAATCTAATGA